TAATAACATTTGATTGTCATTATGCTGTTAAACATTATGTAATGTTGCATCAAAATTTGAAGAAACCCTTATTTTGGGCACTGCTCCTATGATGACCATTTAAGGGAAATCATGTCACTTACTGTTCTCAAACTTACAGGAAAGAAACATGGGTCTAACATACAGCTTCAATAGGCAACGCAGTCTGTTTGATAAATTTTTCTGGCAATTTAACAGTTTTTTGTGAAAATTTAATTTTTCACTTATTTGCATCTTTATTTTCTGTTCTTTGTCTGTACATTTGACAGCTTTGCTGCCTTGTTTTTATTTGCAGACACGGATGTGTCTGTTCATATAGCCATCCCCTGCGTGTGTCATTACCTTGTGTCTTCAAACTTTCAGAACTTATGAATATTCATATAATACAGGTCAGTTTAAAAGTGAGCTTGCTCAGACCATTTTTCTACATGTTATGCTTTTTTTTTTTTAGCAGATATGCAATAAAGAGAACACAAAGTGGAAAACTGTATTGTCTTCTAACTGATCAATATTTACTTCCAAGAAGTTTAATTTTAGGGTATTCTTCTATTTAATATTAATATTTACTAGAGATGTTATGTTTTGCAGTGCCCCAATACAAAAATACATTTTTTTTTTTTACTTTAAAGTATGAGACAGTCCTGTCTCCAGATAAGAAAACTGCCATTTCCACTTTATTTTTAACCACGGAAAACTACTTCCTGCTTGCGTATTATTTTTAAAATGGGCTCCTTTAACATGGATATAAATTTCATAAGTATATGTATCCTTTCTGTTTTAGAAAACCTTTGACCTTTAATGACTTTAATTTGTCTTACATTTTAATATTTGTCAACAAATCAAATGATCCTTTGAAAAAACTCACCGAGGTTTTCTGTCAAGTTGCTGTGCATAATGATAGCACATGATGATGTCTGACACATCTGTTGAATGAGTATTCAAATGTTGATAGGCATTAGTGGATCAGAGCATTTAACTGATACAGCAATGGTTTAAACAATGGATATTATCAGTGTGTAATGACATTTATCAACCTTTCAGTAAATAATGTGTGGTGGCTTTATTTCCCTGTTTTAACTGCTAAGAGTTGATTTGTATGCAAAAAATTTTAAACAACACCAACTGAACATTATGGAAAAATAAATCTCTCAGAATAGTATTGTCATGTTTTTATTTGGTCATCTCAGGGATCATTTAGGGCACACACTAGAGAAATACAAAAATTATTTCCCGCTGCACATTATGGTGGATGAAGAAAAAAGGGTTAATGTTTGTTATCATCATTTCTGTTTTTAAGTTTTCAACTTCAGGACAAAGCATGATCTCCCATCTACAGGTGAACTACAACTGTATACAATACAATACAATTCAACATATTTATATATTTATTTATATATTCATGTGTTGCTTTTAGACATATGAATGGCAAATCTAATTTTACTTCTAACTCCATTAATATGATTCCATATTGTGATTTTTAGGCCTTGGAATGTTGTCTCTTTTCTCCAAGCGAAGAACAGGAACAACTCCCAACTGATGCAAGGTGGTATTTCGGAGACAGGGTCAAAGGAGAGCAACTTGGATGTCAGATCAAGGAAAAGGTACGGAACTCTGATAACCGTTATGATCCAAGACTTTGCTTGTAAGTGGATTTTATTCATACGTTGAAGACAAGTGCAGCACAGAATCCAATAGGTACAATAACATCAGTTGCCATATGGAACAAGGTGCTGCATATGTTAGAAAGTTGATTAATTTTGTTTTAAAATGCCATGGCACAGCACAATTGTTATGTATCTATGAATATTTGTAACACAATTGTTTATGGTCAGAGCATTTGGCCTGAAATTTCTTAATAGTTACAGCACAATATGCAATAATTGGACATTTATGTCTTTTTGTAGCAAAATTGGCCCATGTTTTGTATTTAAATTTTATTATTTATTATTATTATTATTATTCTTATTCGTTTTTTTGTTTAAACAGGTGACAGCTGACCATTCAGATGTGTGGGTGGTTAATCTATACTTAAATGGAGAAGAAACTAGCATAAATGAAACAATTCTAAAGAAAAGTATGTATAGACAGGTGAAATAGGTTATATTATATTGCACGGTGTGTCCTCCCATTTAGCCCAAATAATAAAATGTTCAGAAAACCCTATTTTTTTCCTGCGGGATAAGGAATTCGGTATATTACTTTCCTTGAAAGAAAATAAATTTCCCTGAAAAAAAATCATAAAAATTGATGTCCCTGATTTTAAAATAGATTGTTTGTATTGTGATAATAATAAATTATCAGGGAAAGATACGAAGTGAACTTGAGAAATGAAGCTCACTGTTATGAAGTATTAAATTACTAAAAACAATGAATTTTACTTATTATGTTTGAGATTATTTTCATGTTGAAACAATGGATTTAAGGCTGAAACAATGGATTTAAGGCAAACATGGACGTGTCAATTATGTCAGACTGGACATGCCAATTATGATAGAACCATGGACATACCAGTTAAACAATTTGACCAATGTATACAGAGGTTAATCTGTCTTTCAAGACTTAAGGCCTTTTTCCTCACTAGTTATATGAAAAGAAAAAATATTGAAAAATGATTTTTTTTTTTTCAGTTGAGGAGAACAAGCAGGTGAAAAGTGAAGGAATCATGTGCCGAGATATTCGTCTGCTAGAAAAGAAAGAAGACGAGGCAGATGGTATTGTAAGTATACGTCACACTGTGAATGGGTCAGCAGATGCTGTAAAAGACGATGATGTAGATGCTGAGCCCTCCAATACTAGCATTGAACAATGTCAGTCAGAGGAGGTGGACTCTATGCCAATGCTGGCTTCTATTGAATCTAACAGCGATGACAATACTGCAATTCAAAGTGCTGCTTCAGCCATACAGGATGCAGAGAATATTACTCCGCCCTCTGAAAGTGCAAAGGAACAAGAAATTTCTCAGTGTGCATCTGATTTGTCTGAAATAGCAGAAGATGCTGAGCCTCCAGTATCTGACTTACATGTATCAAACTTTGATGAAGAAGAAGAAGTATCTCCTGTATTACCTGTGGATGTAGCAGAAAGGCCACCAATATCTACAGTTTCTGATGAACCAGATGTACAAGAATCTCACATGATCAACATAGAGGAAGAGGAGGAAAAACAGCTGGACATAGGTGAAAGCAATTCTCATAATGGGGCCTTTGTGGATAAAGCCTTCTCACAAACAGACAAGATGGCTGCAACATCAGAAAATTATCCAAAACTTCAAAACATTCAAATGGTGAAAGGTAAGCTGAGTGATCACTGATTGCAACCCTCATTCCATTGTATTTACTGGTTGATGACATTTTTGTATATATGGGATAGATCTCTTTAATGATTCTTTTCTAGCTAATAAATACAGATAATGAATCTTGATAAGAATCTGATTCTTTGCCATGTGGTGTTTACAAGTACATGTACATGTTTATAAGTTAGTCTTTATACTAATACTACAAATAGAGTTTAACTGAAATAGAGGAGACAAAACAAACTTGCAGGTGAGTGTGTGTTTGTGTGTGCACACACACACACACACTTGCGTTAGCTTTTGACTTGTCAACAAAAATTCCACATATTTTCAGATGCTACTTTTAAACTGCGGGTAACCAGCCCCCTGTGTGTAGACGGCACATTCCAAGTGTCCCTCATTTATAACCAGGAAATAAGGGAAGAGTATGATAGGTTCCTGGAGGACATGAGGTAAGAGCTCCAGTTTCCTTAAAATCATTATCATGATGTTAGAAACTTATTAGCCTCCCAAAAGATTTGACTTTCTGAGATGATACAAAATTTACTTTCCTGTTGATTTAAGAATTTTTAAGTTAATGACTGTGATGAATTGCCCTTCAAAATTTTTTCTCAAGAGTTTCCTATTTTCTGTTTAGTTTATCTGTTTTATTTATATTTAATTGGTGGCTTGATTATGTTGTGGTTTGTTGTTTTTGTTCTCTCTCTCTCTCTCACTGTCTCTGGAATATTCTTACTAGTTATTCCTCTCGAGCCATGGTTGGCTCATAAGGCTTGTCAGCATTCTCTGCCATCTTCCTCTATCTTTCGCTGCTGTGCCCACATCACTCCATGTCTGCCACGCCAATTCTTTTCACTCGGCTTCTATTTTAGCTCTAACTGTGCTGCTTTGATTTTAGTTCTCATGCAGAGCAGAGCCAGCCAGTATGTGACAACGTGTCTATGGGACAGTTGGTTGCGGTGCAGTATGAAGACAGGTGGCAGAGGGGGATGATGAAAGACCACGATGTTGGACAGGTGAGCAGACACTCTAGATTTTCCTGATTTTATTCAGTTTCTTTGATAGTGTCTTCAAAGTAACAGTTAAGATAAGAGTTATTTGCACATCCCTATTTTGGTGTCTATCAAGTCGTCATTCTTGGGGATGGAGAAGGGATGAGGGTACAGGTGTTGTTGGGGTCTTTACTCACCCTTCTTTACTCACACCCTCACACCTTCCCTTTTAAAATGAAAAAAATTTGGTAGTAAAATATCATTTACTTTGCAGTTAAATATGTAATTTACTTCTGCCCAATAACTTAATGGCATTGTGATCCATGACATTGATATCATTATTATTATTATTATTATTATTATTATTATTATTATTATTATTATCTGGTCCCCAGGGCTACGTACAAATACAGCTGGTAGATGATGAGGGCCAGGTTGAACTCATCAACAGGGAAACTATCAGACTGCTTACAGATACATACAGCCTGCTGGCTCCTCAGGTAGATAGCTTCCCAGCATATATAGACTCAAAATTTACTTCCAAATTTTTTCAACAAAAACATGTAAATGTAGATTTGGTTCATTTTTGTTTTATGCCTTTTTTTCTAACATGGGTCAGTAAAAGCAGCAAAAGTTAGTTGTTGGCCTACGTTATAGAAATTAATTTAGACCAGTTAATGTGCCATTTTGTTTCATGTTGTGACACAGAGATGTTTCAGATATGTAACTGTTGGATCATTTCAGTCTGTAAAGTGCAGCATATCCAAAGAGGAATGCCCTGTTTTCTCTCATCAGGCGAGAGATACGTTTAAAGCTTTAGTTGAAGGGAGTGAACTTTCTGCCTTTGTGGTAAGTACATTAAAGAGTCATAGTTGTAGAGTCACAAAAAAGAGAATTGATAAAAACATTTGTTTTTTTATTTATTTATTTATTTTTTTTTTTATGTTTTTATTTTTTTGTTTTTGATGAATATCTTTTTTAACAGCAAATAACATTTTTACTTAGATTTGATGTATGTGCAGTATGTCTGAGGTATTTGTGGCCTTTCAAAACCAACAAGTTTACTTACCTATTTTCCAGACAAAAGTCGTGCCAAATATCCAGACTTATGTTCAACTTTACAGTGGTCATGTAGACATCACGCAGCAGCTTTATGATGCAGGTAAGAGAGAGGTGTTTCTACCCATGTATGATACATAGTTGCTAGTTTTTGCCTTAGAGAAAAAGGAATATTTTGACAAAGTTAAGCTTCAGAAATTGACCATTTTAAAGTAATGTGGCAACAGTGAGTAGTGTAGTCTGACTTCATTCATTTATTTTTGTTAGAGCTTTCAAATGTTCAGGAAAACCATACAAGTCCAGACTCCACAAATGGAGTAGAAGTGCCTCACCAGCAGAACAGTAAGATTCCTTGATAAAGAAGCTATTTTTTCTGTTATGAAATACTGTTAGTGAAAAGCTTGTGCCACTTTGCTGAATTCTTAAAAAATAAATTGATTTTATTCAGTTAAAAATACAGATAATAATACAGATAAAAATAACTGTATAGATGCTGGCAAAGAGACTAGTTCAGAAGTTGTGGAAGTCCTAGTGAAAGCCAAAAGGCGGAACAATTTGTGTGGAAAATGATATTATAGATGGACTGCAATAATTCTTTATTTTATGTCATTGTTCTTTATTGGCTATTTTAAACGTTCGTATCTTTTTTCAACTCTAGACTTGATGCTATACGCAGAGAGAGAACCAAGGCCATTGCTGGGTGCAGGACAGCAAAACCTGCCTGCATCTGCATGGCTGGATGCAGGGGCAGCGCCTTTTATCCCTGCGGAACAGACAGGACCACATGCACCACCTGGTGGACATTACCCTGGACCACACCTAGGACCTCACCCTGGCCCTCTCCATCCTGGGGCACACCTGACCAGATTGCCTTTTCACCTGCCTCCTCCAAATATGAACCNTGGCTGGATGCAGGGGCAGCGCCTTTTATCCCTGCGGAACAGACAGGACCACATGCACCACCTGGTGGACATTTCCCTGGACCACACCTAGGACCTCACCCTGGCCCTCTCCATCCTGGGGCACACCTGACCAGATTGCCTTTTCACCTGCCTCCTCCAAATATGAACCATAACATGCCACATAATTTCCCCACTCTCCTAGAGCAGGGACTCCGCATGCAGCAACTGCAGTTATCAGCTCATGATTCTCGTGAGTCTGGTGCACCTAGATTTAGATCACCGCCTCAGATCTACAGGGGGGATGAAGGCTCAGCACATCGCAGTCCACCTCAACAGAACACAGAGCGGTTCCCATCTGACATTAGAGGTGGCGTGGTTACACAGGCACGAGAGGGAAACCCCGCGCACGGAGATCAGTATCAAGATATGCCAGACAGGTGCTACACCACACCCCCTGCTAACTGGCATCGAGACAGGAACCTGCATAACACCACCAGAGGGCAGGGTGATCATCAGCAAGATGGGGGAGACGGATATGATGACAGTGTGTGGGATGAGGATAACATGCCTTCCTTCCCATTTGATTTGAATTCCTCGCCATCATCTGTAACGAGTGACTTAGGACCTCGCGCTTTGATGCCTGGGTAATTATGGATTTTGAATCAAAATTGGTAATAGAAATTTGATTTGTTTGTTTGTATAACACATTTTTCAAATGATCTAAGGTGCATTTACATTGAATATAGGTAGACCTTTTTGAGGGAGGCCGTTCTCTGCAAACTTAGTATTTTTGTGACGTATAGGTAGCAAGTGTAATCCTTCTTTGCTTCATAATTGGACACAAGTTGGGAGGAGGGAAAAAGCAGTACATCTGCTGTGCTAAATTTATTTTAACAATGCTTCCAGAAGAGAGAGGTTGCACCAAGGAAAGTTGACATATCTTCAGTGTAAACTTGCCTTTAGGCATGTGAGAATGCACTGCTGTACACCAAACTCTTCTGAGAAATTTCTCATAGTGCTGGGTTTGTGCATGTGATATCCCTCACATTTTTTGTGAACTTCATATTTTAGACATCCTGAACATGTCCCCAGGAGTAGAGATTTGGAGAGCAGGGACCTTAGCAATTTCAGGTGCTTTGGCTGCCATAAATTAGGCCATGTTCAGCGTAACTGTCCACTAAAGAGAAGTGCAGGCTTCCACAAGTATAAGGTGGGTGTCTGAATGAGATTATTGACATGGTAATAGATTTGATTACATATTGTAATGCTTGTGAAAGCTTGTCATTGATGACAGTTGGGTATTGAGTAAACATTTTAATCAATTTCAATGTGCCAGACACATTAAGAAAGTAAGTAAACTGAGCAATGACAGATCTTCATGAGATTAATAGGCCATGTTGAATATTTTTAATGATTTCAGAGCAAAGGGAAACGCCACTAACTTGGAGAGTTCAAGTGGAACTCCATTCCACAGGGCTTATGAAAACGAGACAGAGCTCAAGCATAAGAATTCTGTCTCTTCTTTTTCTACTTATAGAGTTAGGTATAATTTCAGTGACACTGGGTACTTTGTCATTTATATCATCAAGTTGTTAAGTTGATACGTATGCTCATTCTTCGCTAGAGAAAGCATATTTAATCTAGAGATGGTGTTACCTACAGTGTTTGAAGAACATCACTTTATTGTACTTCTGGTTAAGAAGAGTATTTAGAGAGAATTATTCAAGTTTATTCATTTTTACCATATGGTGATAGCAAAAATATTGATAGAAAAGGAAATTTAAGGATATCTGTATGGCATTTGTATTTTGCAGTGGCCAACCATTTATCATAAATTGAATGATATTGATTTTTTTCTTCTTTTTTTTAATGGAGAATAGCAAAACTGATTTTTCTGTTATTTCTTCTTTTCTTTTTATCAAATTGAAAGTGAAAGAACTGTGTAATAAGAATATATTTGACTTTACTTGGAAATGGACAAAATGTTATTTTCCATGGCTATGTTTCCCTGGTTTTGTTGTGAACATGCATTTCTGGTCTTGTTGTGGACATACAGTTCTGGTTTTATTGTGGAGAAACGGTTGTGGTTTTGTTGTGGACATTCATTTCTGGGTAAGTGCATTCCATTCTGGTCATAATTTGAGATGTTTTGTATTCCAAGAGTCATTGACCTTATGCTGATGAATTTGTTCTGTACAAGCTGTACACTTTCCCCACTTATAATTGTTTTGTATTGGTGCTTAATATTAATGCTCAAAATCAGTATTCTCATTGTGTGATCTGATTTTTTTTTCTATTTGAATTTCATAGTTTAGGTATAACTGTTCTTTTGATGTTCAGGTAAACTGTTTCACAAGTCAGCATTGCTACCAAGTACACATGATATTATCTAAAAGCCGTCATAGATTTTAAGTTGATATCAGTACTTCTGCTAATTGTTCAAGGTTTTTGTTTTCTAGTTTAATGTGTACACTTGCTTTGTCCACAGTAGTGCAGTTGTTATTGAGGAGAGTGTTGAAGACATTTGATTGAACTTACATTGTAAAAATGTTATATGTAACTTTATATTTTAATACTTTGATATTAGTTTGTAATAGTGCTTTTTTTGGTATTTTAGTAAATAAATGCACTCGAACGAGTTCACCAATTACAAATGAGTGTTCATATGCAGCTACCTACCCTTACTTATTTTTAATTGAAATATATAGTTTAGTAAGGAACATCAAAGATAATGAAGAAATTAAATTAAATCTGATTCAAACTTGGTTGCTACTAGCATTTGCAAGGCAAAATGAATAACCTACCAGATTAATTTTTAAAAAGAAACAAAAAGTGCAATTTTAAAAATCCTGTAACTATCCAAAAATGACTCAAAAATAACATGCTAATGTGTATTTTTTAATAGCACAGAGAATTTAGTTGAAGACTGTTCACAACCAAGTTGATCTGCAGACTAACTGAACTGTGGATCAAATACTTGAAAGCTTGCCATGTAATCCCCTTTTGGATTCCATATTTGAAACGTGTCTCAGTTATTATGCCGACCAACTTGGTTATGAAGCTTAAGGCCCTTTACACAAGTACAGTAGGCTATACATCACACAATAGCCAAACAATGAAGTCGTCAATCTCTCAAAGTGGATCCGTCTAGTTAAAGGTTATGCCCAGTGTTAAAAGGGACTAAATATTTTTAACACGACCCCCCGATTGTTATGTGCAAAAAAGGAAATATTCATAAAAGTAAACTCGGCTTTACCGAGGGACCTTCTTTAACACCCTGTAGCCAAAAGGAATCGTCGTGCACGTTGATTGCGGTAGTGAAGTAATATTACGTAGTCGGCTTCTCTAACACAATTGACACCCTGAAGAGAAAACCTTGGTGTCGTTTAAGTTTTCAGTTGATTCTACGTCTCTGACACGATGGACGCATCGTAAATAAGGTTTTTATTAGTATTACTTCGTTTCAGGGTGTGACGAAAAGAAAAAAGTATAAACAAAAAGCAAACATACAGTGAATTAAACATTATTTATTTTATCATGTCTGAGTTATCCCTCAGCCTATTGTTTATTTGTTTCCACATCAAGTTAATTAAGCAGGATTTAAGAAATAGGTAACGGATTGAAATCTGTGACAATCAATGAGGGTTGCTGTACATGTCCTTTAAAAAGCCATCTGACCACTGGCCTAGATAGAGATCAAGGTCATTTATCTCATAACTTGGCGTGTGGGAACCCTTCCCAGAAAGTTATATAGGCCTAACTTCAAAGGGAGATGACCAGTTGTCAAGGATGATCAGGGAAATGACCAGTCAGTAAAGTAAAGAGTACAAGTGCCGAGGCATCAGCAAACGCAGGGATGATATTGATAGTTCTGGGGACAAAAGACAGTTTTACTTGCATGTAAATAGAACATATTCGAGTCCAAGACAAGTTCATGAATACGATGTTTGACTTGGATTGTGGAAAGGATGATGATTCTTGGTGAAATAATGGGAATACGACCACGTGGACTTCGAGAAAAGGTGCTCAATTCATGAGTGCGGGGACTTTCCTTCACGTCCTTGGCTTCTCCTCCCGATTCAGCTGAACGCCTACCCTCTACCAGGGACACGGGTTGATTTTTCACTAGATATTCACAGATAATGCCTCTGGCTTAACGATGTTGCTTTTGTGCACTGTGACAGAGGAAATTATCTGCGCGACCCTGGTAGAAGGAAACAGGTATAATGGAATATATACCCCCGGCATATTATACTTGGTGAAACACTTAAAAACTTGATATTCAACTGGAAGGACTGGCAGCGTACCCCTGTACTTGGTTTAAAATAATGACATTGAACATAAAACACAGAGTAGAAGGCGGACATATTCATTAAAGTTTCGATATGCGTCATCTAGAAAACTGTGATTAAAAGATTGTGATTTGTTTACACGTAAGTAAGCTAGTGCAATAACGTAATTTTAATGCAAAAATCATTCTTTTAGCATAATATGCTATACTATCATTTGAGACCTCAAATTCTGTTTGACTTGGTTTAATTTGATTAGATGTCCACCATTCAATGATTAAGACATTTTTTCGTTATAATGATATCATTTGTTTCTGTGTTATTTTGTGAATAAACGTCAGCGAATTTCAACCCTTTTATCATTGTTATCTAGCATGTGCGCGTTGGCAATATTTTAACTGCGATTATAATGCAGATATTGAATTGTCTCAATTATTTTACAAGTGTTGCATTTATCTTTCAACATTAAAAACATCAATGAACCTCTCGGTTAATACGCTGTCAACGCCTTGTAAAAATTAAAAAAGAAAGTTCTAACTTTAGTATGGACTAAAAGTGACTTCAAATGTGGAATAAATTTGTCAACTTTATCGATTTCTGCGACATTTTTAAATTTTAACTTAAGCTTCAGTCTATATTAAAATGAAACAAAAACCCGAAAAATTAATATTATCGAATCATTAGTAAAAAAAAAAACGCATAGGTTATGTAAGTTGGGTGAATAGAGGCACTGGTATCGTTCTAGACTGGTCTGCTATACCAAGAGGTAGCAAGGAGTTCCTTTTTGTAAGAAAAAAGTGAACATTCACCCCGTAACTATAAAGAAAAGATCGAAAGTTTAGGGTGGGTGGTTGGGTGAATAGACGAACCGGTAACGTGCCAGACTGGGAATCAGAAGAAGACAGGATCGCATCCCACGTTCATGTAAAAATAATTGTACATTTGACTACAAGGTTTCATTTTTAGCGTGCGAAATGCCCTGGGCCGGTAGCTCAGTTGATACGATAGCTAACTCTAAAGTAAAAGAGCAGGAGGTCGAATAGCATTAAACCAGATTATCTTTTTCATCTTTATTAATATTTTACTTGGGGACTGATGAGAAAGTAACAAACAAAACGATGTTCTCATATTTGAAAAGATTTTATTTTAATTCAACGATCAAAATAATATCAAGATATAGAGTAACGTGCCACTTCAAAGTATATACCAGGCGCGAAAAGGAGTAATAATCCAATTAATATTTTTTTCAATGTGGTACAAAACATATGTACATTCATTAAAACTATCAATAATATATTGCACATATTCTGTAGAAACGACCATGGACTAAAAAAACAACAACACATAGTTAGGCGCCATTTTCTTGTTCTTCTGCAATTAATATCCAAATCTTAAGGATGAAAATTTTCGAGATAATTAAAATTCTGTGGTGCAAAACTTTCAGTGATTACTTTAAACTTGATTTTATACAAAGGTTGTGCCCAGTTGAAAAAACTGCAAATATCGTTCAATATCCCGGGGTCGTCGTCTATGCATAAATAACTTTCACGTCTCTCAATGAATGTCATTGAGAGACCATTAAAGGATTACACGGTCTTCCTTTGATGTAGGTCCGCCATATTTAGGCCCCGGCCTTGCTAGACATCGACTCTTCTCGATGTGAATGCTCTCTTAGACCTTTTAGTTCACGAAGTAAATATTTTATATCACAGGTAATGAATCGAAACAACGTATGTTTGGCAGAGACCTACAGATTTTCAAATATAAATTAAATGTTTTAAAATCTAGCAAACTTCCTCGAATTAGTTGTGGCCGTTTTGTAGGCCTAAATAAAAATCGATAATAAGGACTTTTGTCACTCGAAAGTTTTGATGTTACAAACATACGAACTCCGAAGTCAGTTTAATTCCTACACAAACAATAAGTAGGCCTACAGCGTACCTCTTTTAAATTGTGATTCTAAAATATTAAAAGTATCTAAAATGTCTAAAGTAAGACGTGGACTTTTACTACTGTTGCATTCCAGATTCATTTCGTATGCACATTGCTTTCGCATAATAAACTGAGTATTATTAAAACGATTGCTTATTTGTATTTGGATTTTTGAAGCCTCCGTTGCAAAGAAATCCTCGTCTCTTGCCGACCGGGGACTGAAAGTAGATAAAAAATCAAAACCAATAAGAAATGAATTATACGAAAGCTCTAAAGACAATGTAGTAACAAATCTCTTCCATTTATTGTGAATGCCATGTGTTACTGCTTCTGTCTGTAATTTTATTTTCCATTATATTTCAAGTATTACATCAAATATGGTTAAACATTACGAAATACAAAATCAACTGAATATTCGAATTTATCTGTCAGATCAGACAAATGAAATATCAAAAGAGCCTGTTCAGTGTGAGTGATCGCTGAGTGATTACATGAAGATTACTGATTGTGCAGAGAACCTTATACATATGGGTGGAATTCTCCATCTTACTAGAAAGTTTTGCGCCCCATATTTGTCACAGTGATGAGAAAAGCAACATACAAGCTGTACTTACAAGTTGTAGTGCCAGGCCAAGCAGGCATCACTGAATATATCGTGTTTGTTTCACGAGAATCAGCACCACATCCCGAAAATTTGTCTACCACATGACTGTCTGAATACTTGTCACTTGAAGTTAGTCTAATTTGAATAACAATGCTTTTTGTAAATTGTAGGTAAAGTGGAACGCAGGCACGATTGTGTTAGAGAAGACCAAGCTGTGAGCTCGACACACTCAATTTTTAGAAAGGCGCTTCACTAAAATATTCAACTTTTCCCTTGTAAAATGTTTTACCCCATCTCATTTCCGTCTCCTTTCTTTTAATTTAGTGCAAAATAGTTGAGATACCATACGCTCGCCTTTCCCTATTTTTGACCATTTTTCTTCAATTAGAAATAAGCCCCATAGCCAGAGCATAGACCCACCAATGACACATACGTCTTTTTTTACCTTTCTTTTTATCATAATAAATGTATATGCAGGGCACAGAGACGAAGAAATTATCTCATTTGGTCACTGTTATTAGGGAATAGGGTAAGAAAAGTGTACCTCCCAAGCTAAGGAATGGGGTTATGTAGTAGTACCCTTCCCTCGTGACTCCAATGTCAAAAAAATCACACCAAAAAACGTCTTTCCAGTTACTTTGAAATTAGAATTTTGACGAGCTGAATCAGATCTAAACTGTACCAAATGGTATAATGTTTGCCCTCCAAAATTTTTTGGGGACGAGGGTTGGCTTCGTTATTCCTAACAAAAACTGGACCCCCCTTCAAATAATCCTGGATCCGCCTGAGTATAAACTAATTGATTTCCTCTCTCATTCTTCAAAAATGACATGAACAACTAACCTTCAAAAAGTTTTAATAATCTTTTTAAATGGTACACCATGTTGCACATAATGTAATTCATTAGAGGTAGCATAACATAGTCAAGAGACATGAATAAAAATAAGTTTTTAGTGTCAACCCATGTTCAACACTTCATAGAAGACAAAGGTAAAACAACATATTGTAACATAAATGGAAGATTCTGCCTAGTGAAGAAAATGCCTACAATAAATAAATAAAAATATTATTTATGGTAAACCTGAATAACTGCCCTTTCCCCTAGATACATGAAAAATGAAACAAATATCCAGAATTCTGCTTACAGCTGTCTAAATGGATGCTTAATGATATCTGTCATGTATATCAAAGTCATGGGGATCTTCCAATATTGCCCAGTCTTGCAACTTGGCTCAAAATCAAGGGAGATCTCACAGGATTTGGGAGAGAATGGAGAAAAAAATATAAATGACAGACTAACAAATGCAGTGTGAAAATAAATAAAAGCTGACAGACTTTATCCATGGACATGGTTGTTTCTCGCACTCTCTCTAGAATTAATCTATTATTCAACATTACTAATCCACCATGTTTTGTGAACACTACTAATCCACCATGTTTTGTGTATCACTTTTGCATCACTTTCTAAGACGACATTCCCAGTGCATAGTGCCTTATCACTAAATAGTAAACCCCACCATTTTTCCTCCATCAGATGCCGAGAGCCTCATTCAGGCTCTTGAATTATCCCCATTGATATCCTAAACTAGTCCTACCTGAACTACCCAAAATTACCTAGGAGGAAGCATCATACATGTATGTGACTAGCAACAGCTAGACTTACTACACAATGTTTCTATTACAGTGACAAATTGATGACTGGTAGACAAGGTCTGGATGCACTGAAGAAGAGTGGCTTGTTGGTTCACCATGTCCCATATCAGGCATGGAAGATAAAGGATGAACAACTATGGAAATCAGGGTACTGCGTATGAATTTAGCACATTCTTTAACCTAGTTCTGTATAGCCTTCAACAGAACTTGTATGTCACTTAGTTATATACACAATTATGTGAAATAGGTGAATAACACAGGATGGAATATTACTTACAATACTTTTTGTACGGTCTATCACAAATTCTTCATAATATATTAAATGGTCATTATTTTGATCAACTTAAATTATAAATTTCTTCAAGCACCTCTTCCATTAAATATGACATATAAAGTGAACAAGAAAAAATTGTTAAGATAATTAACAACACTCAGACATGGGTTGCTTTAGCACCCTTCCTCAACGAGAATTACAATACAAAAGTCATCTTCTGTATGTTTGTTCCATGTTCATTAATAAATAATTAAATACAGGTAAACTGATGTTGTGCTATTAATAACTTTAACTCATCTCAAAAGTTGCTCAAAGACCAACATGGAGTCTTGTATCCCTGGAAAAATATATTCATTGACAAATAAAAGGTGCTGTGACTGAACAAAAAAACTTTAATCCAATAAATTGCAATCATGTGCATAAAGTTACTATTTATACTGTTCTGCTTTAAGAGAATCGTTTCATATTCTTACTAGATTCCTAATTTTTACCCACCATACTAGATTCCTAATTTTTACACATTTTTCTATTATAGATGGTGGCAATTCAATACACACTAAGTAACCCATTTCAAAGGTATATACAGAGATTCTTCATGAGGCAAGTACATGGAAATAAATTTCTTTGCACTCTAAATACCTAACACACCCCCAGCAACTTGGTCATTTCTTTCTTTTGCAACACCTCTAAAAGACTTGATCTTTACTTTAAGTTTGATGCTAATAACAAATTTCACTGCTTTGAAATATATTGAAAGGGTACACTAGAAAAAAATGAAAAAGCAGCAACAAATAAGTGAAAAAACTTAACATTTTTGAATGGAGGCCTTGAATAGTTATAATGGCTGTAAGAATGCACAACTTGAACACTGAATTGTCAAAGCTTGAACGCTGAATTGGACCCATGCGTTAACCTTTGTGATTAAAAAACAGACAGTGATTTATTGAAAATAACTATTCACAAGATTCAGTTTTCACACTCAAAATGTATTTGATATCCTAACTAGATCTCAGGATGTTGATTTAGATCACAGAACTGAATGCATGCTTCAAATGTCATTTCTATTCATCTTAAGTATTACAGTAGCTACACCCATTCTTTGTTTGGATATTGAGATAAGGACCTAAGGAAAATGTAATGTGAACACACAACCTAACATTTTTGAAAGAGGTGCACTGCCTCCCCCCATCATCTGCCACCCTTAACACTAAGCTTGGCTTAATCTACAAACTGCAATAGCTGTCAGATCTCTGATCCTCACAAAAAATTAATCCACAATGCAATGGTTGGCACGTATGTGAAAATGCACCAATTGAATCCAAAAGCAACATCAAAGTACATGTAAGTGGGACCCTATATTTGAGCATATGTCATACTGAAAATGCACAGGTACCTGAGGTTAATAAAAAGCAACTGCAGAGATGTTACAAAATAGAGTAAATATATTTAAAATAATTAATAGTGACAGTAAGAATTCCCTTTTTCTACCTGAAATTTGAAAAATGGGTCAGATTTGAAATCCTCCCCCCCCCACCTTTATACACAAGCAAGCACAAAAACTGAATTATTTAGATCAAGCAAAATCCATTATGGCACTTGTCAGCTAGATCATATTCAAAATTATGCTACGATGCATATTCAATAAATTCAATCAGTCTATCACTTCTGTTTACCATACACAGTATGTAATAAATATTGTACCATTTCTAAAATGATAAAAAATCACTATTAATTTTTTCACTACTTCCCTCTCCTAGCATACCTTCTCATTCACATGGCTATCATCTACACCATTTGATGTTGAAGAAACATCAGTCTGTGCCTGATTATTACTCATTACGATATTTACATCTCCTACTTGGAGATCTAACTGACTGTCCATTTCCACCTCACTATTTCCATGGTCACCTTCATTAACCGTCTCGTCACTGCCGTCCTCCTCCATCTCCTTCCCACTGTCCTCATCAGACGAGTTCTTGGCCTGTGCTGGTATCAACTCTTTATGTACTAACTCCAGCTCGCTCAGTAGAGAGTCACTCAGACCTTCGTTCTCAGAGATAGAGATTTGCCGTATTCGACAGCGTATCACAGGCTCCATGATCTCGTGTTCACTCTCTTCAGCGTGTTTCAACACCTTCGCCTCTACGATGATGGCGTCCTTCTCAGGGCTCCCACCCTTCGCCTCCCTCAGTTCATCCTGAGAGTCGTATGAGCTCATGGAGAAGTGTGGTGTCCCTGGAATGCTCTCTGGACTACCTTGCTGGACATATGAGGTGTCGATGTCATCAGTAATACTGGTGTACTCCGCCCTGTGCTGAGACAGGAAGGGAGTGAAGGCTGGAATCATGGTAGTTGGGGCAGGGGTAAAGAAAGTGCCACCGACAGCAGAGTATGGCGAAGAGTATGGCACATAATATTCTGATGCGGGGACACTGGTAGGATATGGCACGCCACTAGCGGGATAACCTGGGATGCTAGTGGAATAAGCTGGGACAGTGATGGGATATGCTGGGG